TCAAATAAGGAGTTTATTTAGTTTCCAATTCTTATTTTTATCTCTTTTTTACATTATTTTTTATTATTAATATATAATAAATTATATAAATAATTAAAATATAGAAGCCGTATAAAAACAATATTTTAAGGACAGTAAAATGAAAGTTTAAGAAACATAAAATACAATAAATATAATTTAAAAAATGAATAAAATGTAAAAAATAGACATATTTGATGTTTTAAAAGAGAATTAAGTTTTATTTTTGAGGTTATATTGGTAAAATACAAGTCTGTTACACATTATTCCACCCTGTTCCATGGGGTAAAGGTGGAACAAGCTTGTTTCACTTTGTTCCTGTATGTTCCACATTAAAGTCATACCAAACATGGGACAAGGATCTCTGTCTTGTTCTGTCCAGTGTACTAAACGCACCCAAAAAGATGACACAATTAGTTACAGAGGTGGATTTACTAAGAAGGCCAACTTTAATAGACAAAAATAGGGTTTTGTAAGTTCACTTGTTTTAAATTGATGTTTATTGCTCTAAGGGGCTCTTTATCAAACGGTTACCGGTAAGTGTTTACCGGGTGTTACTTACCTTTCAGATGAGCATAACAAAGACTTAAAATCTTACCCTGTAAAAGAGGTATTGCAAAGACCGAGACTCCTACCCGATAAGTGAGAGAGAAACCTCTTACCCAGTAAGTGTTTATCCGGAAAACGTTTGGTAAACGACCCCTAAATTAACAAAAAGTGATTATAAACATGAGAAAATAAATACATTTGAAATACGATTTTGTATATCTCTCACCTTTTTGTGAGGTAAAAAAACCACTAAAAGACATATATAAGAGTTTTGGAGGCTTGTAAAACTTCCAAAAGTAGAAACAACCAAACATAAAATAAGTAGGATGTTACAACCTTACATTCATCATTGATTTCCCCGACACCAAACATCAACCATCGTACCTTTCTCATCTTTATAAATAAACAAAGTTATTTAACGATTAAGCCGTAGAAACACTATTATATAGCTAAACGAACAAACTTATTAACTTCATTAAGCTGTAAATAAACAACTATTTATTCGGATACAAGGTTAATCTAAAAAAAACAATATTCACAACTCTCTCCAACAAACACTTCATCTCTCCAACGAACACCATACCAACACATAATGCACACTGTGATACGTTTTATAAAATAACGAAAAAACACAGTGTGATACACTTAGTAACGAAAACATTATCTGGTATATTGTGTTACACTTTGTAAAACAACAAAAATATATTGTGATGCACTTCGTATAACGACAAAAATACACTATGAGACCAGATCTAGTTTATGAATACAACTGTGATACACAGAGATTACAAAGAATATAAGAGGCTTGCAGCTTTTTAAACGAATAAAATGGGGTATTTGATTATAATTCTATTATATATCACCTTGGTTCTGCAATGATTGCACGCAATTGATGATATAGTGAATGAACTTCCATAATTTGTTTGATTAATAAGAAAACAATATCAATCTTTTTGATTGATAACCGTTATGAAAAATACTAATAAAATTACTAATACACCATTTTTCTTAATTAAGGTAATATAATTAATATAATAAAATGATTGACACATATTAGACTTCACAGTTACCACAAACTAAATTAATTCTCATTTGATTAGGCCCATATATATATATATATATATTTTAATTAATATAAATTGTTGATTAATTATTTTTTTTCTCTTTTATGTATTATATTATATTTTAATTAATATGAATTATGAAAAAATATTTTTTTTATATAATTTATATT